GGAGTTCCCAGCACATTCACCGGAATTCGCCGCGTCCCAGCTCCAGCCTGGCGCCCTCATTTTCCTGTGGCGGTGGCATAAATAATGCAGATGCCTTCAGCCCAGCAGCAGGAACTAGACCCAGATGTCAGGGGTGGGGAACGCAGCCCCTTCAAGCTGGGGGGTTGAGCGGTGAACAGGGGCGGGGGGAGCCCTGTGGATCGGCACAGCCAGGGGAGGTGTGTGTGGGAAGGAGGGGGGAACCTCTTGAATAAGGGGCCCCGTTAGCTCACAGGGGAACGGGAATGAGACCCAGGAATGGGGGTGGGGAAGAGAGGGGCAGGCATGTGGAGACCATAGCAATAGGGCTCTGCCCAGCCTGGGCTGAGCGGGAAGGGACGGAGCTCACGTTTGCAAGAATGAAATTAACCTTGGATTTGGCTCCGACAAGAATTCACCCAGGAAGGGTGGGGGCAGAGGGATGTGTTAGAGCCCAATTTCAGAATGGCAGTCCAGTCCACGCTGTTGTAAGCGTTCGCCAAGAAAGACACGGACACAGGGGAAGCCAGGTGGCCCGGGGGGATGGGGGTCAAACATCACCACACCAGCTGAGGACAACAGAAGTGAAAGGGAGGTTTTCAATCCGCTGCTTCCTGTGCTCCGTGCCTTGGGGGGAAACCACAATCATATTGTTTATTCGCTTAATCCGGAAATTCCGGTGTTCGACCTCACCTGGAGCCCCTGAATCTACTTAGTCTCTGATGCTTATAGAATTAACTTCCTTACTCCCTCAGCAAACGTCCTTTTTTTTTTTTTTATAAATACGTTTTTAGTGATTTTTAGAGAGAGAAGAAGGGAGAGGGAGAGAGAGAGCGAGCAAAACATCGGTGAGAGAGAAACATCATCGATTGGCTGCCTCCTGCAGGCCCCACACTGGGGATGGAGCCTGCAACCCGGGCATGTGCCCTTGACCGGGAATCGAACCTGCAGCGATTCTCAGCCTTGGCTGCACTTTAGAATCACCTGGGAATCTTTCTTTAAAATCCTGATTTCTGGGCCTCATCCTCCGGAAATTCTGTTTCTTTGTTACTCATGTTGTGGCCTCACCCCATAACAAAGAAACAGAATTTCCGGAGGATGGGGCCCAGAAATCAGGATTTTAAAAAAAAAGATTCCCAGGTGATGCTAATGTGCAGCCAAGGTTGAGAACCACTGCAAACCTGGGACCCTTCAGTCCGTGGATGGGTGCTCTACCCACTGAGCACCACCAGCCAGGGCCGTGTTCCTCCCACTTTATTGCCTTGTTCTGCGGGGCTGCAGGTCCTCAGAGCCAGAGCGGCCTCTGCCTCGTTTTCCAGGAGCGTGGAGAGCTCTCACGTGAAGCACTCGGCTAGGATAGCCCCCCTGGGGAGCACCAGGGCCCCCACTCCCTCCCCGCACCTCACGCCTTCCAGCTGCCATTCACGTGGAGTGCGCTGTGAATGAGGCTCTTGGGCCTGGGCGACCTGCTCTCATCTGTTCCCCGAGAACCTGTGCTTTTCTCCACCTCCACTCTCCGCTCGCTGCAAAACCGTTATTCCTTGACTTGGGGCACCAATCCCAGCCACACCGCTCGGGGCAGAGGCAATAGAGAAATGACAGACATTTGAAAACATGGATTCCGGATGCGAGCAAACGGAGGTTCAGATATTCACGTACATCCTTAATAGCAGCGCAAACCCCGGCAAGGAGTTGATTTGGTCTGAAATTCAGTTTTGTTTTTTAAATTTTTTATATATATTTTATTGACTTTTTACAGAGAGGAAGGGAGAGGGATAGAGAGTTAGAAACATCGATGAGAGAGAAACATCGATTCAGCTGCCTCCTGCACACCCCCCACTGGGGATGTGCCCGCAACCCAGGTACATGCCCTTGACCGGAATCGAACCTTGGACCCTTCAGTCCACAGGCCGACGCTCTATCCACTGAGCCAAACTGGTTAGGGCTGAAATTCAGTTTTTCTCAGCTACTCAATGGGGATGCTAGCAGCACCCACTTCTTTATGAGATCATCTATATTAAGTTTTTAGCACAGTAGAGAAAGTATCATGAATCTTCCATAGAGTACTAGGTGGACCGGTTACTAATGCGGATTTTTTCCAATAGACGGAGTTACACATATGTTGAGATATATGCTATTTTGTTGTATTGACAGCAAGCTTCAAAACTTCATATGCCAAATTTGCTGAACGTGTTAACATCACAGATATGTTTATGCTTAATACTTCCCAGGCAAGATCTTTTAACGTGTCTTTAGCTGGTTCTGAAGTGTGTGATGGTGCGTCATCATGAAGCAAAATTACTTTGTCGTGTCTTCTGACCCATTCTGGCCGTTTTACGATCAAAGCCTGGTTCAAATTGATCATTTCTTGTCGGCAGTGATCAGTATTGACGGTTTTGCCTGTTTTTAGAAGCTCATGATACACCACACCTTCCTGATCCCACCAAATGCAGAGCATTGTCTTCTTTCCGAAGCGATTTGGCCTTGCAGGCGATGTTGATGGTTGACCTGGATCAACCCATGATTTTGTGCGTTTGGGATTCTCAAAATACATCCACGTTTCATCGCCAGTCACAATTCGATGCAAAAAGGACTTTCTCTTGTGCCGTTGAAGCAACATTTTATGGATGACTTTTCGGTTTTCCATTTGTCTTTCGGTTGGTTGATGAAGCACCCATTTTCCTTCCTTTAAAATCTTTCCCATTGCTTGTAAATGGTCAGAAATTGTTTGCTGAGCAATGTTTAATCTTTCTGCAAGTTGTTTTTGAGTTTGACATGCATCATCATCCAATAAATGTTTGTAATTGTTGGTCTTCAAACTTTTTCAGTTGACCTGGATGTTCTTTGTCTTTCACATCGAAATCTTCACTTTTAAAGTGTTTAAACCAGCGTTCACAAGTATCTTGAGATGGAGCATGTTCACCTTTAAGCTTCCGGAA